CTCTTGTCACCCAGGCTGGAGTACAGTGGCATGATCTCAGCTCACTGCAACCTCTGTCTCCCGGGTTCAAGTGATTCTCCTGCCTCAGCCTCCTGAGTAGTGGGATTACAGGCGCCTGCCACCATGCCTGGTTAAGTTTTGTACTTATAGTAGAGAGAGGGTTTCACCATGTTGCCAGGCTGGTCTCGAACTCCTGACCTCAGGTGAGCCACCTGCCTTGGCCTCCCAAAGTACTGGGATTACAGGTGTGAGCCATCTTGCCCAGCCTCCTCTACAATCTTTAGATCTTCTTTGAGTTAAGGAAGAGTTAAAGCATATGGCAGGATGTTGGCCTGAGTAGCTTGCTAATATCGAATCAAGAAGCTTTTGTCTGGGTTTAACTTACTGGAAACAAATCATGGAACTTTCTGAGTCAATCAAGGTGGAAAACAACTTGTAGGAGAAAGGATTGTAAGGTCCCAGACAAAGGTTGATTGAGGGTGGGGCTGAAGGAATTCCACTGGGGCCCAGGTTCTAGCTACTCTTCCCCTCCCCTGCTCCTCAGTTCTTTAGCTTCTCGTGGAAGCACAGGAGAGAGTGAGCAGGCATTCACCAGTACCAGGCAATCATTCCTAAAACTCCCATCCCAAATCAACGTCCCTTTTATGTCTGATATTCATGCTGTTGGTGTTAGGTTGCATGTTGTATCCTTAGAAAAATCAGTCTTTAACTTGGGTGAACTTTACATTTGAGAGAAGTGAGAGTCCAGGTTCAAATGTATACTCATAATATGTGTTTGTCATTGACAGCCAAAACCAAAAAGCTATCTTCAGCTTGTTTTGGTGGCCATGATTCTTTTTTTTTTTTTTGAAGAGTGTCACACGCTGTTGCCCAGGCTGGAGTACAGTGGCACGATCTCAGCTCACTGCAACCTCTGCCTCCTGGGTTCAAGCAATTCTCCTGCTTCAGCCTTGTGAGTAGCTGGGACTACAGGCACCTGCCACCGTGAGTGGCTAATTTTTATATTTTTAGTAGAGACGGGGTTTCACCATGTTGGCCGGACCGTTTTCAAACTCCTGAGCTCAAGTGACCTGCCCGCCTCGGCCTCCCAAAGTACTGGGATTACAGGCATGAGCCATCGTGGTGCTCTGGTGGTCGTGATTCTTACTGGGATCCCCGAATGGCACTAGCAAGAGGTGGGAGCCCCAGGTGCTCATCTCCTCTCCTTTCCCCTTCCCCTTCCCAGAACCTCTTTCCAGCTCAGACAGGACTTGAGCTTATTTCCTCATCTGGAAGAATGGAGCTACTGCTTCATGCCCTTTCTGTCTCACAAGGGTGCTTGGGGGAACAAAGGAAGCAATGTCTGTGACAGGCTTTGATAACCATAAAGTGTTCTCCGAGGGTTGCTGTGCATCATTGTGCTTCGGGCGGAAGCAAGAATGAGGGAACAGAGGCATGGTGTGGCAGGGTAGCAGCGTTCCTTCTCCTGACCCCTTAGAGTAGGAGGACAGGGGTCCAGGGAAAGAGCAGAGAACTCTGGTCTGTGCTAAGCAGTTCATTCATGTTATCACTCTTCATTCCCGCAGTGGCACTTGGAGATAGACACCTTCATTATCCTCATTTTGTAGCAGGGAAACTGAGGTTCAAGGAGGTTAAGGGACTCATGTGAGGTTGCTGGGTGGTCCTAAGGACAGAGTTGGGACATGAAGCAGGCCTGTCTGCCTCTGGAGCCCCCCTGGCTCATTCCATATGTCTCTCAGGCTCTGAATGGGTGGCTTCTGTTTGTTTGTATCCGGGAGACACTGCGGGGTGGGGGGCAGTTGGATAGAAAATGCTGCCACCCCAAGCAGCGCTGGCAAAAGGTGGGCATCCCAGGCTCCTGCTCCCACTCCCCTTCCCCAGTGCCTCCCCAGACACTCAGATGGATGGCCCTGGCCCACACAAAGGTAACCAGCGCTGGAGATTTAGCAGCACATGCACATGCTTCTGTCTGGTTATTCTGCCTGGCAGTGCGTCTGCTGCAATGTTTTCCTGGAGAGGTTTTTGTCCCTCCCCATGGCCTTCCTTTCTCTCCCAGTCACCACCACCTGCTCTGGTTGCCCCCATGGCACGGGGCTTTGTAGCAGGAAGCAAGGGTGGGGGAGGGCAGGGAACGCTCCTGCAACACTAAAAGCAGGGCATTGGCCAAGGGCTTCTTCCCACGGGGGCTCAGAGCCAGGGGAAAGGAGGAGGGGGAGGGATCCCCCCACTTATTCTTGCTCCTCCTCCTCCCAGGCAGTTTGCCTCTCTGCTGCTCTCTGGCAGCTTTGGCCCCCAGAAGGGAGAGTCACCCTTTTGTTCCTGGCTTGGCTTAGCGAAACCCTAGGTACTTTACCCAGCATCCTCCAGTCCTGCCATTGTACACTGTATCCTCCTGGCGATAAAGCGGCTTTGTACCCTCATAGCCAGTGCCTTCCTGCTAGGGCTTGTACCTCTCTGCCCTTTCAGGATGGGGACTGATCGTGGCTTCTCGCTGTCTTGGGATTGACCAGAGGAAACAATGCCCCCAGCCCTCATCTCTTCTTCTCTACTGCTCCTTTCCTGACTTGATGTCTTTCTAGGCAACTTTTCTGGCCATCCAGGGCTCTGCACATGGCTGGCTTGAATCAGGCCAACAAATATTTGTTGTAATAATGTGGCCAGGTATGGTAGTTCACACCCGTAATCCCAACACTTTGGGAGGCCAAGGCCGGTGGATCACCTGAGGTCAGGAGTTCGAGACCAGCCTGGCCAACATGGTGAAACCCCGTCTCTGCCAAAAATACAAACATTAGGTAGGCATGGTGGCACATGCCTGTAATCTCAGCTAGTTGGGAGACTGATGCAGGAGAATCACTTGAACCTGGGAGGTGGAGGTTGCGGTGAGCAGAGATCGCATCACTGCACTCCAGCCTGGGCGACAAAGTGAGACTCGGTC